TAACTAAACTTATAAGAATTGAAATTATACACACACACACACATGCGTAAATATACATAAACATAATTAAAATACTTACATTTTTTGATCGGACAACTCGCACTCTGGTTATTTTTCCAAATTGTTTGAAATAATCTGTCATTTCTTCCTCATAAAAACCATGAGGTATATGACCTAAATATACTATGCCTCTTGGATACTTTTTTCTAAGTCTTATATGTCTTCTTTTATTTTTGCTAATTTTATGCAATTTTCCTCTTTTAGAAATTGGAACTGTTTGTGAAGTGTCTATTTCTTTAACATCTTTCTTCTGCAATAATAAAGTTTTTTTAAATTTATAGTTTTATTCAACTTTCAATATCCATATCACAGTATATGTATAGGTTAAGTTGAATGCGATCTAACCTCTAACACTTTCTTGACATTCCTTATTGCTTTGGATACAGTTGATTCCTCTTCTTTATCTGATGATTTACGTTTAACTTTTATAACATTTTTAACTGGTGGAACTCTCACTGCATTAGACCTCTTTTTAATTTTCATTGTGAATTGGTAATAACGTGACTCAAAAACAATATCACACGGTTTATTCGATAAAATAGTACGTTCTTTTCCCGCTAGGTGAAATTATTATGGATATGATTTATTAATTCACTAAACTTCAGTTTGTCAATCAGTGAAAAATCAGTGACGATTCATAACAAATTGTTTGTTTAGATCATTTTGCACGTAATATTTTGCATTTTGTATAAAATATTTTTAAAGAAAGTGTATTGTGCTATATTATTACACATTCATATTGAAACTTTCTAATATATGTATGTACATACTTAAATGTGGAATAATTCAGTTGAACAACAAAACTATGTAAGTACTTTTTCATATATGATATGTAAGGCCTTATATACCAATTTATCTTATATTGAAATCTTAAAAGTTTATCTCTAATTCTACATATCTCTATTATTAAAATTAAAAGTTTTACAAATTTAAAAAATTAGCTGCGTTTGCCGCCTTTCACAAAAACTACTTTTACAAAAAAAATTTACTTTCGTAACTACTGAATATACAAATTTCGTTTCTTTTAGTTCTTTAGTTTTTAAATGGTAGGCAATTACATGAGTAATTTTTCCAAAGTAAATATATTGAAAATGTTTTTATTTTAAAATCTCCAAGTTTAAGTTATGAAACATTTATATTCCAGAATCCTTTCTTTCCAAGTTACAGATTTTTAATTTATGGACATTTTAAAATTGTATTAAAATTGTAGGGACACTCCGATGAAAGTTACGATTCATAGTGAATTATATATTATATAATTAAATTGGAAACATCTCGGTCCTTGAATATCTTTTGCATCATTACATAACAATATTCTTATTGTTTGACGTATTAATTACTATGATCGTTTTTTTTTTAAATCAGTGAATCAAAATTCCTATTTGATATCTAATCTGTAAAATGATTTTAAATATCATAAAATTTGAAATATATTTGCGACTTTTACGTGAATATAGAGAGTTACCTCTTTGTAATTGTTTGGTTAAAGTTTTTACAGTGAAATTGGTGAAACGACCGAAAGATTTATTATGCAGTTTAAATAAATTGTATTTGATTGAGTTACCTGTAATATAACCAACATTTTATGATTAAAATAAAAAGAAGCAAAATTCGTATTGCACTTGCATTTGCACTTTTAGCTTATAGCTTTCAAATAATTTCGATACTATGAAAATGATAACATTAACGACTTCCCCCATTTTTATACGGATTTTACAAGGTATTTCAATTTAAACAAAATCCCCAATGTTGTCCAGAATGGATTGTGAACGTAACGTGCATTTATGGCTGGGTATATTTATACACATATATTGCATTTATACGGACATTACAATTGTCACACATCTGACAATGAGCGTTATTTTATCGCTATGTATGCATTGTTCTCTGTTCCGTAATGTTGCGTTTTTATTGCGGTAATACGCGGAAAAAAATTAATATATCTGCATGCTAGCTTTAAAAGTGAACAATTAAATGATTGAAAGATAGTTTAATATAAGATATATATTTAATATTATTTTTAATATAAGATATATATTTAATATTTATATATAAGATATTCTTAGATAAACATAGATAAACAAAAATGCTTAACGAAATTGCAAAATTTAGTAAAACAATAACAATGAGTCGAATGATCGAAACTGTAATAAAATAGAATAAATATTTTATAAAGTGTAGCCAACGCACGATATCGCGTGCGTCCTAAAATTTATTAGAAATTGAACATATTTCGGAATGTCAGAGCAAATGTCATACTTCAGAACATATGCCAGAACAAATGTCATATTTCGGAACGTATGCCAGAACAAGTGAAATGAAGAAAGACACAGACAGTGGAGACGCGTTTTTAAAACATTTTACAATTGATCAGAATTATGTAGAAAAACTTTTAATACAACATTTTAACATGCCAATATTATTAATAATAATTGATCTTGCTTCTATCAAAAGTAGCTTTTATATATTCAGTGAAATTTATGATTATCAAGCAATCAGTTCCAAAAAATAGTAATACTATCTGATTCTTGTCGCTCAATGATAATTCTACTATCAATTATAGGGATCAAATCTCTCACGCAAGATTAGTATAAAATGGAAAGAAAGTAATACTCAAGGTCAGTTGGACCTCCACCCTTTATTATTATAAATTAAAATTACGGAAAATAAAAGGACTGATTAGAGGTAATGAAAGAATTAACTATCGATACATAGATACATTCAAAAACGTGGATATATGGAATATTAATTACATGAAAAAAATTCAGAATCAAAATGGAGTAATACACACATCAGGTATCTCTACACATAAGAAACTTCTCAGAGAGCTCCTTTCGAGAGAGGATTCAGATTCGAATAAATTATCTAGGGTAGAACAAGTAGTATAGATCCAGACTCAAAATCAGACACACGAAAGTTAGTCATTCGCACATCCTAGAAATTACCAGAAGTACCCATCTGTAATGATTGATCTGTGAACAACTAGTTTTAGTTGAATAGAACATCTATTCCTAATGTATCTAACGAAATATAGAAACTAGTGTGCTCGTTTCAAACTTGATCAGTAGTACTAAAGAATAACTTTATTCGCATTCTCAATTTGTTACATGCTCCTCATTTATATGGTAATTTTAGTTCAAAAAATGGTTAAAAGAAAAATCTGTTATTAGTAGAAATACAAATTGTGCAGAGAGCGATTTTTATTAAATAATTAGCCTTCTTTAAAAAAAAAAAAAAAAAA